CATCTTTCATAAACAGGTGTCTTTCATTGTATTGTTTCAGTCGCTTTTGCCATCAAGGACATACTTTACATACTCCTGCTGAAGAAATAAATCCACACATCATTCCCTCTTCACTGTTAGAATGATCAGAATATTCTTCCTTACTAGCACTGCTGTAACAAAATATTGCTGAATACAGTTGTAATCATTATCCCAGCTAACACAGTTTCTCCAATTCATAGGCAAACAGCTTTTGTACCACTGCCCCTAGCAGAAACTTGGTCTAACCTACTAAAAGCCCAATTAGTATGAGAAACACTCCAGTATTTTACAAAAAATAAAGCAGATCATCACATGGCATTTGTCCATATAAGTGAATCCATTTCCCACGCTTCCATTGCCCTCCTCTTATCTAAGAATGATGACCATCATGGTGAAACAGTACATCATGGGGAAAAAAAGAAACAGAAGGAAAAAATCTACTAAAATACATTTTCTCTTTTCCTAAAGGGAGACTAAACTTATCTATTGTTAACTTGCTAGAATTTCTAATAGATTACTTCTGTGCTTCCTTTTTAAAGTATATTACAAACAGCTTAAATAAAAAGTCACAATATGACCAAATATGTTTCCACCATAATGAAGCTCTCCATTATTAGTAGCAAAAAAAAAAACAGCCAGTTTTCCATCATTTCCTAGGAAAATCTCTCAGAATTTGAGTTTAAAAAAAAAAAAAAAGAACCACTGAATACTGCTTAGGGAGTACTTACAAACACTGTTTCTCAGTGCTCTCTTATTTCTCTCCTTCAACTTTGTGCTGGTTTTAGCTACTGCCTTTCCTCCACAGTGTTAAATTTCAGCAATCAGGGAAAAGAGGACCTTTGTGATAGACCACTTGTCAGAAAGCTAACAGAAAGCACTAGTATGCTATGTTCTAACATCTCCCACCCAACCCTAACATTACCAACTAAAATCCCAATGAATTTCCTCTTTTCTTAAGCCTTCTAAAAAAGTTGATGCTCTCACTCTTGGGAAAAAATCCTTCTCCCAGATCTTCAAAACAAATTTGTATTTACAGTAATACATGAGCTTTCTTTTCCTAGATATAACCTGGGCTGTTCACATTTGGCAGCTGAAGCTCTGCTCTCGGCCAGACTGTAACCCAAAGCCGCTCCAGTCTTACAAATTCCCAAATGCTATGTTCCAAGTACACGTATTAGAAGAACAAACAAAGAAAGAAAACCTTCGCCCCACCACTTTTTCTGCTCATCAGGTAGAACGTCATAAGCAAACTGACTGTAGCCGTCCTGAAACGTGCAATGCACATCCCCAAATGAGTCACTCAATTGCTCAGGCCGCATTCACTGCACAGCTACTTGTGCCAATCAGGAGAAAGATGATACATTAAGCTGAAGTGGCCCACGCTTACAAAGAGAACTATCAATACCAACTAGCAGCTCACTGTTTAACTATACAGTTATTCCCTGAATCTCTGGGAGGTACGTTCTTTCCATCACAGCTTCTGTATCTCTCAAGATTTTCATTATTTCTCCACAGAAAAGATAGATTATATACTTCCTACATTCACTGTGTCTAAAGGCCTCCACCACTCCAAGTACCAAGTTTACTTGGCCAGATCAAAGTGTTGTAACTGTAAGGAGAACACAAGACAGCAATTCTAACTACAGCTGTTGGATCCAGATGTCAAAATGCCAAAACTGACATTCCTCACTGACTACAGACATAAGATGCTAACTTGTCTCTGAAACTCCCTGAAATTTAGAATGCCATTTTGTTTTAATAACTATGGACCACACGTAATAAAAACAGAGCAACTAAAATGTACAGTCAGAAAAAAACATTTTATACAACATGGCAATTTTCAAAAGCGTGCACAAACAAATCCATAAACTTAAGATGTACAGAATTTCTTCAAGAAATGGAAACCTGAAGAAGGAACATTCGACACAGTATTACTGTTGCTACTGGAAGCCTTAAATCTGTTGTTCTACTCGAAAAATTTTGTACAACTGTTTATAAACAGTGGGAGTTCACAAAGTAACACCTGACAGAGTTAAAACTCAGTATTTTCATATTGCTACCTAAATTGTACTGAAAGGGGTGTACTTTGTGCAAAAGCACGCCATGAATTCCAAGTCAGCCAAACAAGACACTACATATCAAATAAAGTATGAATTACTTAACATTATGGCCACAAGTCATCTGCATTTTGACATATCCTAATTCTTCCACAAAATAAGCAGACTGCTTCTCTGACAGATATTAGCTGGGAAGTATGTTCTCATTACACATTTGATTTTAGACAGAACACCACATTTACAACACGTAAACCAAGCTTTCAAATAACATTCATCATTTCTCCACTCCTTCATTTTGTGCTAAATGCTTTCCTCAGCTTTTGGTATTAATTTCTTCTGACTCAGCACACAAATAAAATAAAGATGGAACACTCAAGAGTTGGTTGAACAAAAATGCTTTAAATCAAGCCATGCTGCATAGCACAAATAAACAGTAATAACTTAAATTTTACAACCTCATTAGAAATTTGCAGTTAGACTATATAACTGAGAATATTAAAAGCAATTATTCCCTTTATTTATACTCGCCTACATATAGTTCCCAGAGCTGAAAACCCTTTTTTTTTTTTTCCCCTGTCTATACTTGCTAACTTCCACTACTAGTCTTAACAAATGGGTTTAAAACATAGCTAACAAGCTCACTTTTCCGCTTACAAAAGCAGCCTGCCACAAAATAGTTAATACAATTTCCATAGTTGATGATGATTTTGATAAATCGTATTTTCTAAGAGAAGGGTCACAGGCCTTTTCTCCAACTATAAGGAAATAAGCTCTATAGCTGATCAGCACACATACAGCAGGTACAAAAAACTTCAAGTGTAAGGTCACACAAACAGCCAGGGTAAGTTATCATGTGCAAGCACAGATAAATCCTTGTCTGCTTCTAATGGCTGCCCAATCATGATAAAAGCAGTACTAAACGAGCATTAAGTCTGCTGATGCAAGACCTTGGCACTCAAAAGTTGCTCTCTACCCACTCCCAATACACCCCTAATAATAGATGACAGCTAAGTTAAAGCCCCATGAATTTTCCCTATCATCTATACTTACTACCAGGTAAAGTATCCCCCAGCTTTAGAGCATTAGGTTTAACAGGCACAAACATCCACCGGAGAAAAGAAACACACAAGTGTTTCACAACACTTTCTAGAAAATATGACGAGAGCCAACATGAGATTGCTGACACAAACATGAATATGAATTGGTAAGAAATTCCACGTCACATTCTTCTTGGTGTCCTGACAGTTACAGAAGCTCTACGAGACAGTCCACCTTATCCTATTTATTAACAGCTTCCTTCAGAAAACCATTGTCTTTATTTTCTTCCCTATGCTCTTGTGTATAGATTGTTTCCTTCTATATCAACAATACCATTTTCACGTGACAAAGATCATGTCTTTATATACTTGCTTGCATTTCCCTGTATTTAACTTAATCATTTTCTGATACACTTCCCTTGCCTTTCTTATATTACATCCACAATTTCTACAATCAGCAGAAAGTAGTAGTTATGTCATTCAATGTGCCTTCATTGTCTTGCTAGTACCTGAAAATACGGTTCCAAAATTGCTCTACACACAAAGTATTTCAGGAATGTTCAAATTCTTGTACGATTCTAAGTTACTCATACTAAGAATTGATATTGAATCAACTTCTGAATTAAGAACATCAGAATTTCATGTTCAAATAATACACGGATTGCCTGAAATTGCTTCTTCATTAGAAATGACTGAGAGTGATTTTATGAACTGTTTTGCCACAAAGTTCTTCATGTGGTGCAGTTTATTTCTGAAAGGCTTGAGTTTAACTGTCAAATACACTCCTACAGTTGTAGGCAGTTGACACTGTCCTCCCAGATAATGGGGAAAACAATTGTACCAGTCTGTATTTCTGAATGGAATGAGCTCCCACAGAAGTACCTTAATAACTGCACTTTTTGTACAAGAATGATATATCTGCAATACTGAACACACACATGGACTCAGGTAGGTCCAGAACATACAGTTTATTACAACTCCTCCTAGAAGAGAGCTTACTCAAACATAACACAGGTTCACCCAACACAGTAGCCACTGTTATCTAAAGGCTAACTGTATTATTTAAGGGCTAGCCCAAATCCGGCAGAACCACTACTGAACCTGAGCCAGGCAGCTTTACTACACAAAACCTGGTTCACCAAGCAGTTAACATAAACCAGCTTTAGGTAAAAAGGCAGCTATGCAACACAGCTTCAAACTCCCCAGACAAGTGGGAGAGACCATATTCACAAGAAGACTTTCATGCATACCCTGAAATTAACAAGTTAAGTTCTCTTGTCCCGCAGATCTTTCCATTCTCATTATTTCCCAAGATGTTTTTATGAAGTACTGATCCAGTTCTTGCAACAAAACTGGATACAGAAGTTAAATAAATAATTAATAACCTACAGGAAACTCCTTCCTTGTTTCAACAAATACGATAAGTTTGTAACTAAACTTGGGGAGAAAAAAATCAAGCAAGGAAAACGTTTACTTCTCTGCCTACGTAAACTCTAGCACTCTCTTTTTCCCGTATTGATAAAACAACTTTGTTTAATTCAGCGTTAACTATTTTGAAAGAGGATGAGGGGAGATGAAAACATCAACAAAAAACAAGAGACAGCATTGTTTGGGAAAATAATCTGCAAAATAAAGCTTTAAAATAGGAACCTGATAGCACTACATTAATTTAGAACTCCTGCTTACAGTCTAGTGCCTAGAAGCGTCTTTTGTGTAGGGCCTCCAATTTATCTCTAGGGATTTTTTGTTAATAAAGCATATACTGCTGACTAAATATCAGCTGACAGTGACTGCTTAAAGTCTTAAAATTTGCAATGACACATGCTCAAAGCAGTTCATTTTGTATCAGCAGTGTACCCGCTTATTTGTTAAGAGCACATCCTACCTTCACACCAACTGCAACATCAGTGACAATGCTGTAAGAAAAAAAAAGAAACATAAGTCAACCAACTTGTTCTCATAAAACCAAGGGCTTTTGTTGGTTTGTTCTGCAACATCAGAGTAATTAGGAGTCAAATTAGTTAACAACTTTCCCAATCCAAAAAACGTGGCCAAAGAATAAAAAGATGACAGAATATAAAGGAGAAAACTACGGAAGCTCCACCTGCTCATAGGCTTCAAAGTTTCAGGTAAACATTACTTCAATGCAACACACTACTAGGCAGTACATTTAGGAAACATGGGTTTCTGGATGACGTGAGATCACAAACGGGTGAAAAAGGGAAGAACTTAAAAGTAAACACAGAACTTTTCTCACAAACCCTGTAACTAGGCATCCAGTTCAACTCAGAGAACTCCTTACAGAAGAAAGCAATAAACACAGGTTTTGAAATGAGCTTGGAAAAAGAACACATTGGCTGGTATCAAAATTTAACCATCAGATCTCCTATCTACATGGAACTTTGCAACAGGTACGCCAAGGTACACCATCTTCGTAGATGCAGATTCCTAGACGCTAGAACGCTGTAACTTACACTATGCAACAAAACGCCAAAGGTAGCAGAAAACACCACCAGAAAAAAGAAAAAAAAAAAAAAAAAAAAAAAAGTAAAATATGAACGGGTGAAAGCATTCCACAGCATAACAACACTCATCAGTGCCAAAACTTCTTCAGCCGGACTTGTAACTCCCAACATGACAGTCAGAAGTAACCATAATAAGCCTTTAAAACTCTCAAAGTTGAAAGGTTACGCTCCTAAAGCATGCCAAAGGGATTGCTTCTGTGTTTGAGCCAAAACAAATAACTTGTTGGGCATCTGACAGCAGGAAGATGCTGTGTTTATACTGATGAAGGCAGCAGCCAGCAGCTCCCTCCCTCCCTGGGTCCAAAACTTCGGGCCCTGAGCCCTCTGCCCGCCAAAGTGAGGCCCTCGCTGCCTCCCGGCTCCTCCGGAGCGTTCCTTTCTGTGGCTCCTACAGCCTGTCTCCCGCATACACAAAGGCATTTTTCTACCTGGGGAGAGGAGGAAGCCAGAGGGCTACCGGGCTAAAACAAAAGAGCTCCCGCCGGTATCGCTCCTCCTCCCCAGCCCACTCCAACGCACGCCGCGTGCCGCACGGAGCTCCTCGCCCCGCGCCCAGGAGCAACGGCGGGGCCGAGGGGCTCCCGAGGGCGGCTCGGGGCAGCAGCACACGGAGCAGGGGGCGGGATCGCGCGGCCCAAAGCCCTCGGCCGCGTAAACCCGAAATCCCGGCAGGGGCCCGCGTTGCTGGGAGGCCGAGCTCCCCCTTCCCACCCGGCTCGGGGCCCCGCGCCCCAGCCCTCCCGCGGCCGGAACCCGTCCGTCCCCTCGCCGCCGGGCGGCGGCCGCTCCCACGCCCCGCAGCCGCGACGGGACCCGGCGCGCGGAGAGGTCCAGGAGCCGAGCGGGCGGCACGGCCGCCGCTGCGGCCGACCGGGCCTCGTCCCACCCCCTCGCCAGCCCCGGCCGTCGCTCTCACCCGTCCATCGCCGAGCAGGACAAAGCGCTGACCAGCGGGACGGAGAGCCGCGCAACCGACAAGCACGGAGAGCCTGCGAGAAAATGGCGGCGGGGCCTGCACGGAAATTGCCGAACGTTGCCGAGCGCCGGATTCCGCTCCTCGTCCCTCACCACCACGGGGCATGCGCCGGAGTCCCGAGCGCGCGCAGAAGGCGTGCCTGAAGCTTCTGCCATCAGCTGCCCGGACCGTGAGGCGGCGCGAGCCTGCCAGGCCTCGGGCGGGAACGGGGCGCGGCCGCGGCTCGGCGCGCCGTGGAAGTGGGCGGTGCTCCTCGTGTCGGCGGGCTTTCCGGGAGCGAGGGGCGGCGTCTCGCTTGGGAGAGCTCCTGCCCTGTGTGAGAGTCTGTCTGATAGAGACACAGACCGTGGTCTCCTTTGTAGCTGACAACCGGTATCGTTTCAAAAATAAAGACTGTGCCATCGGTGCTGCGCCGGTGCTCCGTCTCTGTAAGGAACTTCTTGTTGCCGCGCTCCTCCGGCAACTCCAGTAGCAGAGCACGTGCCTGCTTCCTTTGCCCTCTTTTTTGCCCGGTCTTAACATTTCATAGGGCGTGCGAGGTTTCTAGAAAGCAATACTCACTTTATAGTCTTAAGTTACATTCAAGAAAATGTCTTTATACCTATGATGGAAAATCTGAAAATGACCTTAATGTGCCTAAAAGATCCCAAGCATAGAAGGACATTAAAGGGAGTGATCTTAAAACCATTTTACATCTCTTCTGTGATACTCCAGTTTCCTCTTTTTTTCATGACGTCCACCAGAAGCCATCTGATTAGATGAACTAGTAACACTCACTCAGTTTGTCCTCTGAGTGATTTGCTCCTCCATATAGTGGAGATGGAGGAGAAAGCAGTAATTGTTCACAGCAGAACAGAAATGAACTGAATTCCCAATGTTTGGGAAACATTTACTTAGCAAAAGAACAGATGGGAGAAGTAAGAATGGATGTGAATTTGTAGAGCAGAACTTTGGTCACTTTGAATCCAGAAATAAAAGAAATAATTGATTTAGAATAAACTAAGAGCATTTAATCTTAGAAGGAAAAAAAAAATACACCAAACTATCAACATGCATTAATTCATTCAGTTGTTTATTCAATACAGTATTTCAATTTCCTCTTCAAGTAGCTTTGTCTTTAAAAGCATTTCAGTATGCTTTTGGACACCGTTGTCTGGTATATTCTTAAACAGTGATAGTATAAGCAGTGAGTTTGTCATCTGTTTTCTCTGTAATAAGTCTTTGCTTTATCTTTCTCACAGTTTAGAAGGTAAAAAAAAAAAAAAAAAGTTGCCTCAGACACCTCCTTTTCCTTCTGCCCTGTTAACTTCCTGCTTAAGTGTTGTACCAGGTATTTCAGAAAAAGGCTCAAATGCTTGGTAATAGACAACCATTCAGTAAAACACCTCTATCAAAACCCTCCATATTTACTGGTTATATTATGAAACACTTGGGTTTGTATCTTGTGTTCATCTTATTCTAACTGGAAGTTAAGCATGTAGATTATTATTAGCAACAGAAAAGCTCAGTACTTCTAAAATTCTATTAATCTCATTCTGTATGGGAACTACTGAATCACAGCCTGAGCCTCTGATTGATCACCTGAGGCAAGCACTGAGTCAGCCGCAGGAGCACAGGTGAAGGCGATTAACCTGTGCTGCTGGAAGGGGGGGAGCCTGGCTGCAGCTCTCCTAGACCCCACTTAAGGGCTGACTGCCATGGAGGAAGGATCTCTTTCTCGAGATTGCTCCTCTTGGAGTCTTCTTCTGTGAGTCCAGGACAAGGGGAAGCTTTCCATTCATTTCTAATTATCCCTCTCTAACGCAATAAGCTTTCCAGCCTAACTTCTCTGTATACTTATTGATTATACATCTGTATACTCGTTGATTATACACACTCCTGCAGTAATATATTTTCCAAAATAATTTCCTCTGGTCACTATTACACTTGAATGTTTCTTTCACTGATTGTTTCCTTTTTATTTCAAGAGCAGTGAATAATGAATAGTCCTGCAGCAATTCAGTGGTTAGTGGTATATGCTTAGTGAAAGACTGTAGGAATTAGGAAGCATACAGAGATACTGTCTCAAGTACCTTGTCTCAAATTCAGTGCTGAGTTTGGAGTTGCTGAGGAAAAAACAGCATCTGTATTTGCAGAGGATATCTCTTGCAAGCATTTATCTGAATACCTCTTGGCATTCACAACATTGAGAACAGCAAGTTGCATAATTTAATTGAACACTATGTAAAACATATTTCTCGCTGCTTGTTTCGAGCTTGCTGCCTGATAATTTCCTTTGTTATCCATTACTAGTTTTCTTAACAAAATAGATGGGTAGTTTTCTCTCTTATCCTAACCGTACCATTCATGAATGCACATACCACCTTCAGTTTTACACTGAGAGTCTTTGTAAATTTAACTTCTCCTTTATTGGAAGTCATTCCATATTTTCAGTAATTTATCTTACCTTAATCTACACCCTTCCTAATTCTACTCTAGAAGTTTGTGATGGTCCTCATTATTCATTACAAACCAAATGCTTTTATATAGATTAATATTTTTTGTTGTATTTGTTTTTCTATTATTTTACTGATAAAGCCAATCTGAATTCCACATTTGAGTGCTGCTAAACAATGAGCTGATATTTTCGCAGAACTTAAGCTCTTTCCTGTGTGGTAGTCATTCATTTTAGATTCCAGCATTTTGCATGTATAGTTTAGCTTTTTTTTTTTTTTCCTCCCCTGCGTATTACTTCCATTTTTCAGGACAGTATTTCACTTGCCATTTTATCATTCAGTCACAGATTATCACGAGAGCTTTCCACAATTCTTCACAGTCAGCTTTTGTTTTTATTACCATGAATAATTCAGCATCATCAGCAAACTTGGTCACCACCATAATCACTCCTTTTTCCAGATCATTTAAGAATATGCTGAACAGCGGAGGTCCCAGTGGTATGCTACAAGTGACCTCCCTCTACTGTAAAAATATACATTATTTTTTCTTGTACCTTCATATAAACTCTTGTAGTAATCTATTAGTAATAATTGATAAGTAATAAGTTATTCGTGTATCAAAGAGTGTACCTGCTAATTTCGTATCACCTTAGTCTCAAGGGATCTGGGCACGGAACTTCAACAAATTCTTTTTTTGAGACTATATCATGTTGTCAATCAATCCTAAAACACATACATATTGGCTCCTGTGAAGAATTTTATTTCTTTTGCTGCTGGATATACTTGTACATAACAGCTTTTCACTTGTCTGAATGACCAAAACTAGATACCTCTATCATCTATTTGTTTTCCTTATATAAAGGGTGAATGGTGTTGCTAAGTACATTTGTTCCTCTGGATATTTTTGGAAAGGTTGATCATTCCATTTACCAGTTTTTGTTGCATTCGACCAAATTATTCTATCTTAAATCAGTTCTTATCAACTTCATAATTCATAAATTCCCTAGATGACTTTGAGCAAAGTCCTAAAATTTATTAGTAGCTATTCATCTTTTTGTACTCCTGCAAACAATGTCCTTAATCAACATTTCTTTCCAACAGCCTGTGTTGATTTACTTTCTTTTATTGAACTAAGTTTTAAAGCTACTCAAGTAATTCTTACAAGTGCTGTACCCTAAGTAAAAGTAATTTTTTTGAGTTCAGGTCAGAACTTGTCTTACTGGTCCAAGTCCCACGGGATATTTTCCAGCATTTTATTTCTAGTATTTCTCCTAGAAGACAGATTTTGGAAGGGCAAGGAGTGTTACTGTTCTCTACAGTCTTAAATACTAAAACATGAGAGTTCATACTGCACTTTACTAAGCATTCATAGAGATTAAAAGATCAGATTTTGGCAATTAGATTATCATTTGCCTGCTCACCTTTCTCTCGTTTGTATAGCATATCCACCTGGAAATTTATTCCCAGAGCAGGTACACCTTTTTCCACCACTTTTTCTGTTTATAAACACATGCCCATTTACTTTCATTAGGTCTGGAGATCAATTTTTGTTACATATGTGATGACTGCATATGTCTTTCATACACTGAAGGTGACTTGTTCTTTGCCTCAGTTGGTTGGTAGCAGTGCGAGGGTTGTGTCATGGGAAAAGCAGGGCTGCAGCTTTCTTCCCACCGCTTTGCTCTGTCATCAAAACAGGTGAAATGAATGATTTCTTTCTGAAAGCAAAGATATGTCTGTGAGGTTATAAGGCAAAGGCTAGGAAGTTCTCTGCTTCTCAATCTAATTAAATGTATGGATCCCTGTTATTACAGATAGACAGCCATTCTAAAGGCTGGCTGGACATTCTAGGAGAACCAGCTGAAATATCCCTACACCAAAGTAGTGATTGCTTTCCGAGTATGTTAACAAAATTATTTAGTAGTTTGTGAAAAGCTAGCGTTCCCATGACTGTATGGGTAGTGTGACTGACAGGCACTGAGAACGGCTGCCTTTCTGATGTGTGGTTTGCCAGCCTAGGTCTGTACTCCTGCTGACAGGAGTGGACTCACACCAGAGCTTTAAGCTGCAGCCTGAGTAAATAATTGCATACTTGAGAAATAAACTGCAATTGCTTAACAGTTTGTGTCACAAAATTAGGCATAGATACAAGCTTATGGGCTGCTTAGCTATATTTTCTGATCACCCTCTTAACTCACAGGCCAATGTCAGACAGAAGACTTACTGTAACATCTTCAAGGATCCCATACCTGTACAAGGCCTGAGGTCACATAGATTTAAAACATGGTAACTATAATTAGTAAAAAGATGGGAAAAAAAGTAAAACTTTTTTTTTTTTTTTTAACAAAAAGAAATGAACAGAATGTTCACATTAGAAATTAAAGGAGCCCAAATCCCCAGCAACATAGTAAATTAAAGCAATACGTTTTCAAACAAAGAAAGAAATCTCACAGCAATTTCCAAGAATGGTCTTTGCACAATTGGACTGAAATGGGAATTTTCCTATTGATTTCAGGAATCCACAACTTGAACTCTGAACTCTTTACAATTTAAAAGGAGTAAAAAGTGTCTCACAGTAATTTTTAAAAGGTCATGCCACTGATATATGAGCTCACCTTTCCACTTTACACTTTGATGTCAGAAAATGGAATTATTTTTGCAGCACTTTTTCAAAA